ACTAGGAGACACAGGCAGACCTGGCTGTCCAGAGAGGACAGGCTCAGTGATCAGAGAAAGAAACTAGGAGACACAGGCAGACCTGGCTGCCCTGAGAGACAGAGACGCACGCACTTTCTATTTCTCACAGAGCAGCACTCGGGGGAATAGACAAACATTCTTCCCCAAAATAACAAATCTAATCCCAGAATTCCCACTCCTGCCAGAACCAGAACGGCCCCCAGTCCTACAGGGGGAGGAAACTCAATAGAGCTGCAGCCGTGTGTGTGATCCCCTGTCCAGCCTGACAGGAAAGACCCCCTTTCATGTGATGTCTGTACATGTCCAATAAGAGAGCATATTTTCTCTGTTGTACACGTCTGGGTTAGAGGCTCATTGCTCGGAGAGAGAGAAAAGCACGGTTCTTCAGAGATGCAGAGCAGTACAGGAAGAAAGGAGAGAGCTCAGGGATAAGGGGGTGGGTACGGAAGACCACAGGGGGGAGACAAGGGGAGGAGAGACGCAGGAAGGAAACGCAGGATGAGAGATGGTGACAGAACACAGTTTTCTCTGTCCGTAGTGAAGCCGTGCTCGGCCAGTTGTCTTCTGGTATCTGTGCGGCAGGATTTTAAGAATCACAGGTTCTGATCCATGATCGATGTGGTAAATATCTAGAAGCAGACCCCGACCAGAGGGCTGACAAGGCTGCACACAGACATTCTGTCAGAAGCCACAGAAAGATGCACCGAACCGGGTCAGAACCAGGACATTAAAAGTAGACTCGGAGCCAGTAGTGAGACGACAACACGCCACAGCGCCCCCCCTCCACCCCAGCAACTCACCAGAAGCTGTCTGGTCTGCTGTGGTCCCAGAATCCCTTGTGGTTGACGTTCCACGAGAGGTGTACCTGGGAGGGGAGTGGTCAAAGAGAGGGGGCTGTTCCCCTTCGAACTCGAGACAGCTGATTGGACGGTCAGGCTTGGGGGTGGGGTGAGCGAGCCCCAGGGTGCTCTGGGATTGCTCTGTTGCTGGAGCGGGACCCAGGCCGTTGGGGAGCAGATCTTGCTGGGTAGGCGACGTTCTGGGGGGGTGCCCGTTGGCCAGGGGTACCCCGTTCGGAACAGAGGGCTTAGCTGTCTGAGCTGCAGAGTCAGGAAGGAGGGGGAAACAACAAAATGTCAGGAGCTTGTCACGCAGCGCACAGTCAGATAAAAAAAACCACCGTGGCGTCGCCATGACAACCACAAGCTCTGCAGACGGCATATGTGCTGCGCTGGATGAAGAGAAGAGACACTGAATGAACAAG